TTATTATTTTCCCGGAGTGGAGTTTTGCGGAGAACTAGATCAGATCATGTAACTATTAATCGCCGTCCGTGTGGGTGTATACTCCGTATAGAGAGATACATAACTAGATATGCTCAATAAACAGTCTCCGTTGGCTTTTTATTCTTGAATGTTTGAAATTCTGTTTCATTGCACCGTTTCTTATAGTGGAGAATCAAGGCAGGATCTATTTATTTAATTTATAATACTCCGAACATACACAAAAATGATATATAGAGGAATAACGATGATAACAACCACCAGCTCAACAATGGTTTTGGCTATTTTACAAAATACCAGAGATGTCAAGAACACCCGCACCAGCTCACATTAGAGCAAATCGAGAACCAAAAAAATGGCAAAATTTGCAAAATAAAAGAAAAGAATATCCTACAGAGCGAAGATATTAACCCTCTCTTGACCCCTGAGCCCACAATAATATGTCATCCTTCCCCTCCTCTCCCCTCCCACCATCACGAAGAAACCCTACACTCCCTCAAAACTTCGCTCCAGACATAAGCTCCAACCGATCCTTCAATGACAACCCCTTCGCAAACGCCGGATTCGTCTCCATATCCTCCATCGTCGACTCATTCACAAACCCCCATACCTTCCAGTCCCCCTCCTTGCCCGCAACCAGCATCTTCTGCAACACAATATACTCTGTGGAAGTCTGGCTCTTCGCTTCCCCTGCGGCAGCTTGCGGCTGGGTTCTCTTGGCCTCGTTCGGGCTTTCGGCAGCGGGGGGTTGGGGACGGACCAGAGACTGGCGGCTCTGGATGCGCACGACGACCTGGCGAATACCGACACCGTGAGCCACCTGTGCAGCGCGGTCGGCGATGACGCGCGACCCGGTCAGGGTCGTTGAGAAGGGGAATTTTATGAATTTGTGCAGGGTCCAGACGAGCTTTTTGGCTTGTGGGGGCCGTTTGGAGATTCGCTTTAGAAATTGATCACGGAGGCTGTCGCAGCAGATGTTGTCGAGGGTTGCGGTGTCGGCGCTGGGGAACTTTTAGTTAGCCGCGTATTTATTTTATTTTATTTTATTCTTTTTTTTTTATTTTTTTATTTTATTTTATTTTAATTTTTTTAATTATTTATTTTGCAAAACAATGTAGAAGTATGAGAGAAACTCACGCTGCGTAAGCTGTGTACATGGTTTTATAGAGGTCGCGGGCGGCGCGTTTTCTCTCGCGGAGGCGGAGAGGAAGCTTGTTTTTTGCATTGAGGTATTTGCAATAGGCTAAAACGCTGGATTGCGGTGGTTTAAATGCGGGCACAATTGCGCCGGGAGAACTCGTCAGCTGGGTTAAATCCTGGCAGTCAAAGTAACGAATATACTCTGTGGAGACCCTGCCCCATTTTCCAAGGGAGGTATAGCCGGGAGAAATATAAAAATGTCAACCAACTCACCCAACAAAATCCTGAAACTTCGCCCTCAGCGATACCCACTCCATCCACAGCCGCTCTTTTGGATACCTGAATATGGACGGCATATTCCTCCACAGAGGCCGGATAAAGGTGCCCGGCAAAAGCCCCATATCATCGGGAATGGACCCGTCCCTCATCGATCTCAGGGCCTCCTTCATCTGGTTTTTCGAGCTCATTGTCGCTTCTGCTTGTGGCCGCAATATCTGCGCGTTTCTCATAGAGGCCTCCCGCTGTGTAGTGTGGGAGAAGGGCCGGCATGATAGAAGGAGATATCGCGAGGATAACGGTGAAGAGGGGAATGATTGTAGGGAGGACCAGAGGTGGATATAAGGAGACGTGGTGGTGGTTCGGAGGGGGAGAGAAGAAAGGGCGTAGGAGCGGGGAGCGAGGGAGGATGCCATTGCAATTACAGAGCCCACCCGGGGGTGATTTAATGTAATAGTGGACGCAAGTTGAGAGCGGAGGTGCCCGCTGAGCGGCACTGGCGACGGGTGCTGGGAAGAATTGGGTCGTGAAGCCCTGGTAATTCGTCGCTTGCTGGAGATGTTTTACTCCGATCTGTTTCGGACTTTTTTTTAACCTCGAAATCGGCAGAAAAATTGATTGTTGTATTGGGATTAGCGGTAACTAACTAGTTAACTAGGTTTAGTCAGAAATTACGTTATCACAGACCTTGCAACAACGCCGACATCTTCCATCTTGCCCAACTTTCTATGTAACAGAGTCAAAATATTTTCTTGTTCTATTTCTTTTGTTCGTCCAGTCACCAATCATCCCTAGCAGTTTCTGGGATTTGCCATAAAGCAATTCCTTTTGCTGCCCGTGCCCAAAATTTAGCTGCAGCAGTCATACTGCAGGTTCTCGAGCCCCCAACATCATGCTTGGGTGGGAACGCGGGAGGATACTTGCCCATCATTTAACGTGGTAAAACTGGAGGTGCTTCATGTTTAGAGAGGTCAAGTACGTCTTGAAAAAACCTTTCTAAAAGCATGCTCCTTAATTTCAATGAAGTTGTTGTAGCTGCTTGAAATGCACAACCATGACATTGTTCAGTCAGACGATGGAAAATACTCCTTTGAGGCCAATAATTCCATGAATTGCTTTGAGAGATCAACCCCGATAACATCTCGCTGAACCAGGACACATTTAAAGTGATGGTATTATTTTGATAATCGATGCATTGATATCAGGTCGGGTGATTATTATCATTCATACGCCTCCAAAAATAGTTGTCGCCTACCAAACAGGTACGAGAAGATACGAAAGGAGAAGTTCGCAGAGAGTAGAAGACAACGGCCTTTTACCTGATGAGGGCTAGTGGATATGGTTTCTCTTTCGGTATTTTCCATATGCTCTGGGGATTGGGGGAGGGGATACCAGAAACAGTGATTTAATGGTGATATAAATCATGTAAAATTAGTGACTATGATCATCGCCTCTTCCCAGATATATGCTATAGATCTCTGCTGATATGTATATTTGAATATATTATATTAGCTAAAAGTAGGTATGTATACATAGCTACCACCAAGATCACTAGGACATGCTTGTCGGACATTACTCAACGAACAAGGGTCCAAAAAAACTCACATTTATACGTATACAAAATTCGCAAAACGCACCCATTATTTAATAAAAACATTTATCATCCCATCCTCCGAAACGGATGCGCCTCCGTATTCAACACATATTCATCTAAACTAATCAAACTAGGGTCACTGAACATCAAATAGAAATACTTCAGCGTCTCCGCCAGCCAGAAGCTCTCCATTCGGTTTGACAACGGCGCGTTACCAGCCGTTCCCCTAGGGACCGTAACGTCATTCAGCGCTGCGTTCCCAAAGGGCGCCTTCGTCATCTCCTCAATGGCCGTGAACATGTCCCATGCCGTATCAAGCAGTTCTGTCCGGCCTGTAATGCGATATAAGATGAAGACACTCTCGATGGCCTCCGGGCGAAGGATATAGCGTCTATCCTCTATAGATCTGATACCCTTGGGGAGGCGTTCGCGAGCAATGATGGCTTCTGCGCTGTTGTCCTTGTACCATTGTTTGTCGCCATCGGGCGAGAAAATGGATCTGGCATGTGCGGTGACTACTGCCTCCTTGTACCTGCTCTCGTCCCACATGCAGGGTCCGTTGGCCGGGCATGGAACCATGTGGAACACCTCGGGCATCATCCCTGACGGGGTCGCTTTGTATGTCCAGATACAACCGTCCGTAAGTTTCCGCGCGATATCCATATGGGAGGGGATATCGAACAACCTGGACCCCAGCGCGAACATGCCACCGGCGAAGCAAACAAGATGTTGGCCTTCGGCATCCAGCTCGACGCCTCCGTCGTCACGCGTAGTCACCTTGCCGGAAATGAGTATATCTGCATTATCGGGCACCATGGGTCTATAAAGAATATGTTTGGCCACCACAGCCATGGCATCCCTGTACATTCGCTCATACTTATCATCCACGCCGCCCAGCAGCGCGTGCATCTTTGGCATGTACTCGTAAAGGGAGTCTGCGATCGCGCCCAGCGTAAAGGTATGCACTTTCCCTTCGAAATTTTGCGTGCGTGCATCGAGAACCAGAGGCCACATCCCCGGAAGCTTCGTCTTGCTCTGCTTCTCTTCAAACATTTTCATAATTCGATGCACGGCATCGTACCATTTGGGGTCCTTGGTGAGTTGTGACAGGCGCGTGAATTCCATGGTCAGGGAGCCGATCTCGGCAAGAAGACAGAAGCGGGAGGCTTCCTGCTCGAGTCCCAGGAACGCGGAATGGATTTTCCAGCGGGTAACGGGCATGCGGTTTGGAGTGTCAAAGGCGGCGTAGAGAATGTTTCCCAGCTCCGTGGCCTTGGTAAGAAGGACATGTTCTCCACTCAGGTCATAGGCTGATAAGAGACCACCCAGGTAGCGGATTGTTGTTTCAAAGACATTGATTTCCTTAGATTCAGTGGTAGTGAAGTCGATATTGGCAACAGCGCGTACAGCCTCGTGGAATTCGTCCTTCAGGCCCATGATCCATAGGGTGTCAAGACTGTCAACCAGGGTGGCTGCCCATCCACCAAAAGTGTCATAGGATCCTTTTGTAAGCGGAGTAACTTCGTCGCGCATCCATGCGTAACTCCTATACGCATTCCACGCGCGAATAAATGACTGTTTGACAGCTTCTTGTCGGGGTATTTGCTTCGATAGAACTTCTTTGAAACCTTTGTCGGAGAACACATGCTGAACTCTGGGCAGCCTTTTTACCGGGTCCGACGGTAGCGGCACAAATGATTTCACTGGGTATTTTTCTTTGAAGTTCTTCCAATCGAATGAGAATCCTTTCGGCAGCTTTGGATAATTTGGATTTGGGGCGAAGGCATCTGGCCCGCTTCTGTGATAAAGAAATAGGAGGGTGGCTGATAGAAGAACGTAAATTAACCATCTGCCTCTGAATGAAATCATGATCGCTTCGCCTAGCTTCGATTGCTGCGCAGTTCAACTAGCTAGCGATTAGTTATAGTAAGACAGGATTCATTTGACTTGCTGCACAGAGTTAAGGTTTGAAGAGTGAAGATTCGGAAACTTTGGTGACGATGAAGGCGAGTACACTTAGCCGGAGAGATGATGATTGTATGGCATCCAATTTGGAGACTTCAAGACTCAGTCTGTTGCGCACTAACAAGACATACATTTATTGTTGCTTGATGCTTATGTCTGTGATTTCTGAGAGGGGATAGCTTCAAGATTCCGGCTGCGGGGATTTGAGATAAATAATTATACTCCAGACATACATAAATATCCAGGTTTGCTATGGGGATTGTTTCAACCCCATTTGATATTATTATTGGTTCATGGAGTACAGTTAACCTGGGAATATCTTAGGCGCCGAAAACAAGCCCTTGGCGCCATATTGCCCCTAAAGCAGGGGGCTTGTTTAACGAAACCCGGACCTAAACTATAGGCACTTCTTATTAAAGCCATCCGCCACGACAAAGGGATATTATTTAACTAAATAAACTCCTCGTGTCCTCTCTCCTCTCATCATTGCTTCCATTTACAACACTCATCCAGCAAAACAATTGCAAACAATTCTTGTTCCCGTCAGCAGGATAACTACCAGATTCACATCTCCTTCAAACTGTCCTATATAAAACTTCCCTCTGAGTGCCTGCGGCTGCAATAGTCGTCAACTCAAAAGACTGGCGTCTTCCTCCGCGAGCTACAAACCCACCCCTCCCTCTCCTCGCCATGCCCTCCCTCCCCAGTCCCAGCCTCGATTCCGCAATGCTCTAAGGTCATACCGCGCTCGTCCCCCAGCCTCGAACGATCCTCCACCTCTATTTGCGTCCTCGGATGATTATTCCTCCCCATCCACGGTGCCGTGCCCGCCGCCGTCTCCAGGTACACCCGCTTCCGAACCCCGGGATATATTATCCTCTCTCCATCCTCGAGTTGCAGTGATTCTGGGCGTTGACCGCCGCTGGTATATTCCTTTACTGCTTTGTCGGGGCCTCAGCATCCTTCCGGCAGCATGGTGGGGCTTACGTTGTGCCTTCACGTTCTTAGCAGAGCTACTACGGATCAGGCCTCAATTTTGGCATGAAGGATGGACAGCAGCTATTGTGAGAGGAGCCGCGGCTGATTGGGACGTGGAGAGACGGTTCAGGGTTACGGAAGTGGCATTGGCTATTATTTGGGTATTTTCCTGCTCTGTCCTTTATTTGCGGCCCATTCTCATAGGAACCCGTGTTTACAAGGCGAAAAGGGAGATTTAAAGGACGTACATACAAGAAGTATAAACTGATTTCTAACCTAATTCCCGGTTTGTAGTGTTCGGCGTCAGCATATTTATTTTACTTTTTTACAGATTGTATGATGTCTAGATGGTAAGCTGTCCCCAGATTCCCTCCAGATATTTCTTTACAACGGACAAAGCCATATCGAATCCTCAAACTAACACGGAAACCCAAAGGCTACTTAATTATACCCCCGCTGCAGTTGTCATTCGACTTTTGGCTACGAATGGTCTTCTTGCATACCTCACGTCGTGGATCCTCTATTTATCTGGCGCTTCCTCAGATCCTCGCCTCCTCCTTCCAGCATGGATATCAATTGCATCGGTTCGTTCCACCACCACCACCACCACAAAAAACATCTCATTCATATACGCTTCATGAGGACACTACTCTAGCCATTTGATATCTGATTTCCCCCCGCTCTGAAAAACAGGTCCTCTCTTTCGTTTACCACATCACCCAACGCCAAATTAACATAAAAAAAGAAACATTTGCGACGATCTACGTTTTCTCAATTGCCAGTTTCCTGAGTATGTGCTCCTTGCTTCTGCAGCTGCATCTTACACGCGAAAATGAGCCTGAAGTCCCGTTATTCGTTATGGGGAAGATAATCCTGGAGTTTGGCGCGCAGAAGATTGCTGAGTATGGAGTTGGAGGCGAGGTATCTGATGGATAGGAAGAGGAGATGACGCTTCCTGACTCCCCCCTTTTTATTCTTTCCGTTTCGTTTCTTTCTCGAGGTTGATATGGGCGGTTTGATACATCTATTTTCTTTTCTGGCAACAAGAGCGATTGTGCATGAATAACATTTCCTTGCTTTGTTTCCATTTGGTTTTTTATTCTTCTAAGCCATCTTCTTCTTACCTCTCATGCAACAATTCACCGTTTAGACTTTTTTGATGAGAAAATTAATTGACGCTCTCACTGGCGATGCGCAAAACGACTACCTAGGCACTGACTCCGTACATTACATCTTTTGAGATAGCCTCAACCTTTCTCTCTTTTTACTACATGCTTCGTTTTTAAATTATTTCCCTAATTAGGAGGATATCAAGGGGGACCATGTACACGTACTACTTCATCGACATTCCATATCATTCACGCCATCCATCCTGCTTGATTATTCCAGTTTGCAATTCAAACTTACAGACTCAACAGCCAGTTCTATCCGGCAAAACCTGAAAATAGTAATAGATGGAAAGTTGCTTTTGCCTATTATTAGCCAGAAGACATATATAATCATACTTTCCACCCCTGAGTAGATGGATGATTTATTATTCACCGCGGCCCTTCAAATATATTATCTTTTGATGCGCCGGAAAAATCCAGAAGCAAATATTTATTCAGAGAAAAGAGAAACAAACAATGAAACCAATAACTTCTTAGGGAGATACCCGCGTGAATGTTTCATGAAGTAAGCCTGGCAAGCGGTGCTAAGCTTACTGTGTAAACTTTGACAAAAAAAGAAGAGTTAAAAGACTTTTAAAAATAACAACAATACGAGTCAGATGCGGAACAGACAGCGTCAAGTGGACACGGCCACCCAACGTAGATTAAGGACGGACCGTATGTATGACATGTACGTTGGACCATACGGCACGGAATTACAAGCAATTCACAGATTACGACGCCTGGCTCAAACAAGTTCAGACTTCACCCAAGTTTTCTCATTCTCCTACTTCAAAAAGCAAACTGTTGATTCATTCCTCTGGTTCTTTATTAACGACTAAAGGAAAAGTAAAAAAGTCATGAAACAGGAAACAATTTCCACATCGTCATTACCATGCCGCCATTCGACCTATTTAAAAGAGCAACCGCAGGAAGAAACAAACATTAAAAATTAAAAAAATCGTTTTCCAGATCATGGGGTATCTCATCAACGCCTTGTCCCGTCAACGTCCCGTCTACTCGAATTTAAAAAGGGGGGGCGGGGCGCCAGCTTCCCTTCAATTGTGGTGGATAGCGTTCTTGTTCTAAGAATCACACAGCTGGGCGAGGTTGAAACCGACCGAGTTCCGTTTTATATCCTATCCAGACCACTCCAATCGCAGGACAAAGTTCTCCAAAAAAGTTTCCGTTAAACCGGCAAGAAGCAATCCGTAGATATATACCGGATAAAGGGCATTTTCTCTAAGAGAGAAGAATGACCCCTTCCCAGCCAGTAGACAAAGGCGACCGCACGACATGGCTTCTATCGATCCTCTGGAGTGGACTGGGAAGACGAAACGGGACGGGCGTGATGAGGTTGACTTAGAACCCATGGACCTTTATGGTCTTGGCGTCGAGTTCGAGCCCTTCCTTCTTATCGACCAAAAATTCTTGGACATCCTTGCGCTGATCCCCTTGGAGCTGGATCACCTCGCCCATCTCACTGTCGTTGACGATGGTGCCATTGCAAGCTGCGAAATAAATTAGTATAAAATATAAGATCAGGGTAAACCAAATGGTAGACAGCAAAAAGCATACCGAACTTCTTCTTAATGACCTTGAGGATCTTCTTCTGGTCGAACTTCTTAGGGAGACCTTGAACAGTTGTCAGGGTCTTACGACCATTGCGCTCTGCGAGAATATGTCAGTTTTCAATCTATGTGGCGATAGAGACAGAAGAAAAAAAAAGGAGAAGATACGTTGGATCCGTATATGGATATAATTTTGGGATTGTTTTGTATCGCCGGTGTCTTCGTCAGCTTCGGCGAAGGGGTCTGTCGCAACACGTGCCCAGTTAGCCAGCTAGCCCTCTTTCAGTTTTGTTTTGCAGGCTCAGCCGCGACATCACACAAAAACAAGCCAGACCCATCGCGGCTACCCCGCTATTTTCCAACGGGGAAGCCATCAAGAGATCCATCCGTCTCCCCAAACAACCACAACAGACAGCAGCAACAGAGACAGCAAAATACCTGATTCTCTGTGATGTGGCTGGTGTAGCGGAGAGCCTTGGCTGGTTTGTTTTAAGGGTGGGCAGAAAAGAAAGGAGGCAAAAATCCAAGGTGGCGTGGCAAACTTACCGAAGGTCTTGAGGTTTTCGATTGACATAAACCCGTTGTTTGTCGCGACGGACTTAAAAAGGTGTGTAGTAAGGGAGTAAGGATAGTTTAGGTTGATAAAGAGTGCTTTTGAAGAGAGGAGATCTGTGACGAGCAGTGGTTGTGTATCCTCGCTGGTCAGTAAGAAAGAGTCGTCGTTGGTGGAATAAGGAGGAAGAAGAACGGCGGAGGTAGAAGAAAGACGGCAGATTTAAGCGGGAGGGGGCGAGGCGTGACTCAGCGCTGACTCAGCGCGGCGGTGAGAACCACTGGCCCGTTTCTGGGCTTGGCAGGTCACTTCTGTGTATTTCGCCATACTAATGAAGGTGTAAAGTTACATGATAGTGACTCCGGGGGGCAACTTCACGGCGGAGGCTGAGGTTCCAAGATCGGATTTTTTTCCCGATGCAGCTAATAATAAAATGTTGTACAGTTGTAAACACAAGAGAGGGAAGACCCGACAGGTGGAAGAAAAGCTGAGAAGAGCCGAGAAGAGCCATGCGCACATTCAACCAGTTGATGACAATTCCGTAGTTGCCTGTGCCTGTTTATCTAGTTACCTTGGTACCCCCCAGCCTCACTCTTGCAGAACAAATCAAGTCAGATGTACGGGAGTACATATGCATGGGAAGCACCTGCTGATACGATACACGCATTCCTCATTATTTTCCCGTAACTTCTGTTATCTCGTTATCTCTCTGCGGCAGCTTGCTTCTTCAAATCTAGATACTTGGCCGCATAATCATTCGCCAGCACAAAATCCCCTGACAGATACATCACCGTCGCCTTCTTCGCCATCATCTCGCACTGGCCTTGCACATCCTCCACGTTTGAAAACTCCTCAAACGCACAGTCGATAAATTCCACTGCGCGCGCCATATGTTCCTTCTGTCGTACTTTGTCCCTCCCCTGGCTCTGCATTTGCACTTGGCCAGCCAGTCCCATGTCGGCGTCAGCTAATAGAGAATATGTACGTGCCGTAAGATATGCATCTTCACACTCATGAACTTGAGGCACGATGCTCTCTAGAATCTCGAGAGCGGCTCCGAATTCTTTGAAGGTCATGAGTATCACAGAGAGCACCCCGATAGCCTCCCATAGACCAGGAAGATACCGTGATCGGTGGGCGACATTGGCTGCTCTCATTGCTAACGAGAAGCCTCTTTCCGGTTGGTTGGTCTGGTCAAAGATCCTTGCTTTTGCCACTAGTATTTTCACCTGGGTGGCAACGTCGAAGTTCTCCTGTCGCATGGACTGGGCATTTCGCTCGATTATTTCGAGCGCAGCTGTGTAATCGCCTTTTCGCATGAGGAAGTCAACCTCTAAAAGTGAGAGTGTCAAGACTAATTCTGCGTCTGGTGGAGAACAAGCACGTAGTTGGGGTATGAGGTGCTCTGCTGCCAGCTTATCATCCCTACCTAACGGTCAGCCAACCCTCTTTTCTCACAAAGGCGGGAAAATAATTACCTATGTAGTTGTCTTTGCAACTTCAGAAGCCCGCAAAAGAATGTCCAATTTTGTTGGTTCTTAAGAACTCGTAGCGAATCGGAAGATATCTCATTTAATCGGGCCATCGACTGGTCATAGCTCCCTTTAGCAGCCAACTTCACGCTGTTAGAATTTGAACGTCTTCGTATGCTCCGTGGCGAAAGTGCTACTAACCAGCATGCTACTCCGACATATTACCCGTAGGTGGTCTTCAAATGGAGCTTGCTTTGTGTAGCATTCTCGAAAGATCTCGCAATTAGACCATGCCAGATGTGTAACCCCTTCCGGTTTAAACCATTAGCAAATCCTGGTATGTCAAAACCAGAACGAACAAAACATCATTACCTATCCTAACATATGCCGACGCTTGCAGCATAAGCAGAGGTCCGACTGAATTAGATATATCCTTCGTTACATTGAGAAAAGAGGCTTTGACGATATGTTCAAATGCCGACGCCACACTCTCGCCCTGTAGTACTTGGCAGTGAGCAGGCTGTTAAAAACCAATGTTCCAAAAGTGGAGACCGGGTTGAGGCACATACATTCTGCAGCTCCAACTTTGCCTCACTAAGCAGTGATGTACCCAGCAGACCCCACATTTCCGTCTCTCTAGCCTTAGCCTGGAGAAACGCCAACCCTTCCTTCTCACTACCCAGCATGCCAGTACTCTGGATATCCTTCATTTCATCAGGAAAGGCTTTTCCAAAGTGGTAAAGCCAGCTCATGCAGAAATTGAGACAGCTCATGTCATGAGTTTCCCTGGCAATCGAAATGGCCTCCTGCATGGCTGAGACTGCCTCTGCATGGCAGCCAAAATCGGCTTGGAGAATGGCAAGATTGAGCAGGGCATATTGGTAGAAGGTTTTGTCACGGCTTTGCATAGTGTAGTCAAAATAGCGATGTAAATGATCAAAGGAAGAGGAATAATCTCCTGCTTTCCAGGAATCGAGGAATCTAATTACATTTGTGCGATTAGAGCAGATATCGTCGGTGAGATGGAGGGTGAAGTGCTTACTTTATATAATGCTGCGAGCTTGGTACAGATACTCCAGACATCACCATCTGTTCCAGGCGCGATCTCATTTCGCCCGTAATCCTGCATCCGTTGCCTAGATTAAACAAATACATATCAGTGAACCGTACCACGGTTTAAGACTAACAAAAAAGAATGGGAGACGTAGAGCGAGTGCCATCATTTGAGGACAAGAAAAAAGTCGTTACCTACCCTGCATCTCTCCAACCTGAAAATCCAACAACCGCTCAATATCCCTCGTGCTCATTCCCAATTCCGTATCTTTCCCTTCTTCTAGCGAGCCATATACCACCTTAGCAAGGGGACTCGTTAGATCTAGGCCAAGCTTAACTAGATTGACATCCACCGCGGCCTGGCTATCTAAAGGATTTCTCTTCGCCCACAGCTGATACGTTGGCAACCGATACTTGACTAGCCCTCTCCATAGCGCCACCGCATCGTGGAACTGAAGGCGAGTGTACTCAAGATACGCCCTTCGGACAAATACACCAAGCAGTGATGCGCGGGAGATAAGCATGTGCCCCGTCTCCGGCGCAATACCATGGTTCCGGTCATTGATCAGCTCCTCGCGCGTCTTCGTGAGCATACTTGATATGCCTGCAAAGAACTCATCGAGGGCATCAGCGCAGTCGAGCTTCCATAGCTTTTTCAGCAGCAGGTCCCAGACGGTTCTACCCGGGATAGAGGAAGCTAGGGGTAATGTAGCAACCTCAAAGTCTTGGATGGAGATAGCATGGCTGTTTGCTTCGGTTGTTGTGTTGGTAGATGTGAGGCGTTGAGTGGAGGGTTGAAGAGGTAGTAGATGGGAGACAAGAAATGAGAGGACAGGAACGATGGCAGAATTGGGAACTACGCCTTCAGCATAGACGGACACAAGGGCCAGAAGAGTGATCTTGGAGGGGGTCAAATAACGAGTCATCTTGACTCTTTAATTGCAGGGGTTATCTTGCATAGGGAATTGGTTTTAAAAAAGGGGGTTGGCCATGGTTGAAAATCGCATCGACACGCCAGCTGGGGTACAGGAAGTTGAGAAAAGGAAAGGCGAATATTGGGTATCTTGTGTTTTTTATATTTCCCTTGATGATTATCTATGTTGTGTTCAGAGCAGCGCTTCAATCCGTCTTTACCTGCTCCAAACTATATGAATCGTCGCGTCTGTTCCCATTCCCGCGCGTCAAAGAGCTCCGATGCCAAGCCCTGACTAATCCCGCCTTCTTGTTCCCCGCCATGACTATCAGATTTATATCTTTCCGCCCGCTATTAACCACCGATACCAACACATTAAAATACTCTAATTGGCTCATCCCGGTGCCTAATTAACCCTTATATATCCCTCCGCAACTATGACCGAACCAATGACCACCAGCAATTTGCAGGATATCCTTCCCCTCGTCGCGCGGGGTAAAGTGCGCGACCTATATGAGATCGACCCGCAAACCCTCCTCTTCGTAGCTACTGATCGCATCTCCGCCTACGACGTGATTATGGCAAATGTATACCATATACCCGAGACTCCAGTGATTTAGTGAAGAAAAAGCCTACCCCAAATCCATGGTTTACTAATATATATCTTCCTCAATTGCACCAGCCAATCCCGAACAAAGGCACCCTGCTCACCCTCTTGACAACCCACTGGTTCGAAATCCTTACCAACGCCATCCCCAGCCTACGCACGCATTTCATCACCCTCGACCTACCCTCACAGATTCCGGAATCTCTGCGACCATCTCTACGAAATCGCTGCATGCAAGTGCGCAAGCTAAAGGTATTCCCCATCGAAGCTATTGTACGGGGCTACATCACCGGTTCAGCCTGGAAAGAATATCAAACATCCGGCACGGTGCATGGCATAAAGGTGGCAGAGGGCTTGAAGGAGAGTCAGCGATTTCCCGGTGGACCCATATATACGCCCAGCACCAAGGCAGAGCAGGGGGAACATGATGAGAATATCCATCCAGATCAGGGTACTCCTTTCGCCGCCGCCCTTTCCTCCTCCGAAACTCAGCTAACAGGGTATAGCCATAACCATCCTCGGCCCCAAATACGCCTCCATAATCTCCTCCCTGGCCCTAAAACTCTATGAAACCGCCCACGCCCATGCACTCTCCCGCGGCCTCATCATCGCAGATACTAAATTTGAGTTCGGGCTCGACACAGAGAAGGACGAGGTCGTGTTGGTTGACGAGGTGCTGACGCCGGACTCGTCGCGGTTCTGGTCTGCGGAGAACTATGAGGTTGGGAAGTCACAGGAAAGCTTTGATAAGCAGTTTTTACGTGATTGGTTGGTCAAGAGTGGGCTGAAGGGGAAGGATGGCGTGAGCATGGATGAAGCGGTGGTTAGGAGGACTGAGGAAAAGTATCGGGAGGCATATGAGAAGATTACGGGGAATACATATGTGAGTTAGGGATATATATCGAGAGATGTAAGGGATGATAGTGGGGGAATTTGGGGGCATGACACGTTCTCTGAAATTAAGGGAAGGGGTCATCATTCACGGAAGAAGATGGGATGCATGATAGATATGTTATGGGTAATGTTCTGACGACCTACTTTCGGTTCCGGGTGTATATTATATTGATTTTAAGAACGGAGGACCGACTCTAACAAATAGATAAATATTCTGTATAACTTCCTCCTAGCTCGATTCGAATCATAATAAGAAAACGCCAATATATGCCTGTAATTCAAATAGTAGCATGTGGAGTATGCCAATGTCGTCATAAATAATACACGCATGGGAGAAATCGAACAACCCTTCTCCCACCACGCCATAAACCAAGAAATTTCTCCCATGCCTCATATATACAAGCAACACCACGCCCTCTACCTCTGCCCCATAACCCTCTTTGCTTGAACAATTCATTCACCACTGGTCCTCCCTCGTCTTCTTTTTTTGCTCCTCTAGCCCCTCCAGCCCCTCAAGCCCCTCCTTTTCCTCTTTCAACTCCTTCAACTTCCCCAACGCCGCCCCCTCCTGCTCAGCCATCGAAGGCCTCCCAATCCCTCCAGGCCCCCACTCTTTCCCCGTCATGTGCAACGCATTCGGCCCACAAATCTTCCTCTCCTCTTCCATCTCCTCTTCTGACAACCCATTGGTAGCCCATATGCGATGAATGCGCAAATCATATGGACCCTGAACGCGATCCGTCAAGCCAATACCAACGGACTTGATGCGTTGCCGTATAATACTAGTCTGCGGCTCGACGGCGAAGCCAAGGTTTGTGCGCACAAAGTCATTCCAGCGGATTAGCACGGTTTCCCAGCCCGTGGAATCTGGGTTGGTTGTTGGCGATGTGGTGTGAGTGTATGTGTTGGAGGATGATGGGTGCTCGGGGGCAAAGTCTGCTAGAGCGGCAGGGACGACCTCGCCTTGTTCGGATGAGTAGGAGGTGGCATCTGCGGCGGAGGAGGAGGACTGTGGAATGCGGTGGTGGTTGGTGAATAGGCGATGTTGATGGATATCAGTATCGACAATCGAATCGGTTTGAATGTTTACTTTGTATCTGCGGCCGTCGGACTTGACACGGAGCGCGAGGTAGGTGTATGGGTCGACGTCCCAGTAGAGGCGGCCGAAAAGCCAGAGGCCCCGGTCTTGGTTGCGGAAGGCGGCGTAACCTGTGTGCACATAACATATATCAGCAAGCGTATATGCCAGCCGGCCTCGAGATGTTTAATGGCAACTCTCTCCGTAGATATAAGTAAATAAGTCTCATACCAGTCCTCTGGATCTTCCAATTCTGCGGCAACTTGGTGGAGATCGAGCCATGAAAGCGGGCATGTGCGGGGGTATTGGTAGCGGGATCCGCGGGGATATAGTCTAGATTTGCGGTGCTGTAACCACCAACAGCACGGTCGGACATCGTCTTGCAGCCCGCAATGGTGTTCTCGTCTGTGAAATCGAGGAGGTGGTAGGGTTTGTAGGGGACGGAGAGGGCTTTGAGGTTCCATGCTAATCGTCGAACACGAAGTGAGCAAACAGATGCGTTGAATGTAATGGTTCGATATCGGGTGATATGATGGAAGGTAGCATGGACTAGGATGCATTCCCCTTCAATCCATTGAACTTTTACATACCCATCTTCGTGAACCTGGCGAACTCCTCCGCGCTCCGTTTAATGAAACCGGGCCGCTGGGCGAGGCATTTTGCGGTGGGAATCATTGCTCCCTTCGATAATAGAATGGAATGTTTGTCAAAAGGTAGGAAACATAAATGCGAGATATACTGCCAATTGTAATGGGTATTAGGGTCTGAAGACAAGTCAGTATTGATACAGCATGGTTCAAGCATAACGGATAGATATCCAAAGCTGGAGATGACATCGGACTTTGGTCACGTGGACGGAGCTATCCCAGGTTGGTGGCAATAATGGAGATTGGATAATAATAGGAAGAATACTTATAGAAGAACTGAATAGCGCAAGGTTACAGATTGTGGGATCTCTCGTCACATTTGCTATAAATGTTGTATTATGCGATACTTATAGAGGAGAACAGGGTGGGAAAATAGCTGGGGAAAAAATGAACCGCGAACTCCTACAGAGTACTCAAATAGCATTCATGGATTTGAACCAACGGAACGCAAAAGTTCCCTTTTTAAATATATGTCCCTATGTACACGCATAATAACAAGAACAAGGCTGCCTTGAATCCTAGAAACGCTATGCTATGCTGCTTTATATAACAGAGGGGTAATATGCACGTAATGGATATATATGCATGTATGCTATACGAAAAAGGGGCCAAAATACGGTAAGAGAGGAACCAGATAAAATAAGTGAAACGCACCCAAGGAATGAAGATGAAAGATGAAAAACAAAAGAGAAGAATGCCCTAGAAAAGTATGCCGCCCATGATAACAATAAAAATGCACAAATGCAATAGAAGGTATGGATGTACATAATCGTCCGTCCGTCTCGTCGTAAGAATATGCTGGACAAATGAAAAGGAGGAAAAGAACAAGAGAAAAGACAAAGTAGGTATGGGATAAGAAATGAGGGTCATAAATAAACCCATTAGAGAGGAGAGGGGAAAAACAAGGGGATAATGACACCACAATGTACCTAGGTATAGCTTCCTTGACGCCGCAAACTAAAGTTTTTCCAGCGCAAACCATAGCAGATGATCCCAGGAATGCCACGAATGCAGGTGAGAAAAGAGTGGCGCGGTCATCAACTATATATAAAAAGGGAAAATTTGGGGAATCATATTTAATACCCAAATACCCATATCCTCTTTTCCCATAACTACCCACATACACGCGAGTCCATATCTAGGTTCAGATCAACATTCGATCGCATCACGCAACATCACCCCTAATCCTCCTCGCCGCAAACCACCCCAAATTCACCGCCGTGTCATTAACCCCAATAACCGGTGCTGATTCCTCTAACATCTCCCACGGCCGTAGTGGATATGGCCCCGCAATCCGCCCTCGTTGCTGTACGCGCAACTTACCAACAATCGAATTTTGGTCGTCAAAGGGGTTGAACGTGGCAGCATTGTAGCTGTTACCGCCCTGGAATTGTTGAGAAGATTGGGAGGCTGCGGTAGCACCTACTGATGCTACTACTAAGGGCGTCGCGGGTGTACCAGGGGTTCCTGGATTTGCTTGAGATAGCGTGGAGCCTCCCGGCTGCTGCTGGGAGGATTGCGTGGTGGTCGGGGATGGCTGGTTGTCTGCTGCTAGAGGCCCAAGAAGAAAGAGGAGGCGCGGGTCGTTTTGTGGGTGTAGGAACGGAGGGCACCGGTCGCGGAGGAAACGGGCACATTGGTGGCGGTAATCATCTGGGATGGAGTCGAGGAGAGTTGCGGCAACATCTAAGGCTTGGATTTGTAGGGAGGTCGATATGCCAGTGTCAGTGACATGAAAAGGGAAGTGAGGTCGCGGTTCTTGCAACGGGGTGGTGAGCGTGAGAGGGCTGGTTGAGGGAAAAGGGCGTGGGCAGGCTGGGGCCTTGGGAGAGAGGGTCCTCGATAGGGCAATGCAGTTGATTGAGATTAGGAGACGGGTTTGGTCGGCCAGATCAGACTTTGATAGAGTGCCTGGGGCAAATCTGGACCTGTGGATGGCGATGAGGCGGAGCAAGACAGAAAACCAGAATGCGATTACAGAAGATTGCTGTACCACATGAGCCTGGCGGATGGCGGTGGCATGGTCGTTATCTTGACTGATATTGGCTTCCATCAGGTTATTTTCAAGGGTGGTAATTCTGTGCAAAATCATGTTCATTTTTTCGATAAGCGTAGGACAAAGTGACGGGCTACCAGTCTCCGGAATGCTGAATGATAGGTCCTCCACGATACGGAGACAGACGAGGGCAGACACATTAAAGCCCGGTGGCGTATTAGACTCAGATGTCGGACTGGTTGGTAGACTATCAGATGTGAGCACATGGGACAATAGTTGCTCCTCTGCTCGTTGGCGGATCTGCGATGAAAACGTTAGCCATCCAACTGTAATTCAAGAAGTAAAATGTAATTCAGATAGTGTGCTATTCACCTCTTTTGCTGCATCTGCATGTAAACTTCCCACAACATCAATCCAATGCGACTGGCCCTTGCGCATATTTGATTTAGCTGTTTCAAAAACCACGTCATAAATACGTTTCTTCACATTGCTATCACACTCAAAACCAAAAAGTAGTCGTAATTTCATGAGACACAATGGCAAAGAGAAATCATTAATCGATTCTATAGTTTCTTCAGCAGCAACAAGACCTGGTCCCATGTGTAAGTTAGTCGCCGTAAAATAATCACAGGGTTGAGCCTTGTTCTTTTTAGGGAAAGCTTACCGCTTTGAACTTGAGACGCCAACAAATGACCCAGAGCCCGATCGGTTAGGTTTATGCAGGCGGGAAACTTTTCCAGTAAACGGATCCCATAATCCGCACTAATAGTAGCAGGATGTCGAACAATGATTTCGCACAAAAGCGGTGTCACAACGGTACTCAACAATTCACTGTTAAATTGCTTGGGAAGAGAGTCGGTTCCACCTTCAGAAAGCTCCGCGAGCAGATCATGTATGAGACCGAGGGCTTCCCCAGAAAATTGTCTCATGTACTCTTGCCGGGCAATTTTAAACCGATATGCAACCTTGATATGAGAAAAATTAGTAAACGGCTGTGATAATTTACGTATCGGAATCTGCCAAACTTACCAAGTCCTGAGACCCATTCCCATTGGACAGCCTAGAATCTAGAAGTTGAATCATACTGATGCGAAGCTCTGCCAAATCAGGAATTGTACTTTTATGCACATCGGAATGCAACAGTGCTCTAGCCAGCACATAGAAAGAATGTAATGTTACGCAACCAACGCCGATAAGCGGTGGTAGCATTGTAGATAGATTTGGGCGAGGGGACGACCTCAGCACCGAAATGACCCATTTGATCATGAGGTTGTCGAACAATTTCGCATTGAACGGCCTGAGTTGTGCAAAATATCGCGCTATGTCATGCGCACACTGCTCACCATTTACGCTCCCAGCTTCAAGTCTCTTGCAGAGGCTGTCAAAGATTCGTGCCACGGTTGATTCGTCCATGCTATTCCCGGAAGTTAATAGCTGATCTAGCTCTTCCGTGAATGTGGGGTTGGAGGTATTTAACGTATCGACGATGTGGTCAGAGACCGGAGAGCAGGCTGCCATAGCCAGTTTTCTATCCCGCTGGAGTAGATCCCGGCGGAGCAGAGAAACTGTGGACAGCTCTCCTGGAAGCTTGATGGCAACATCCAAAAGTGAAGCAATTAGATCTTGAACCGATAGTTCTGCCTTGCTGATTCTGGCGTAAGCGCTAGTGAAGCTTTTGAAGAGATCACTGGTAGCGCCGATGGCGTTAAACGAATCCAGATGACAGTTAAGCGTGTCGACAGCTGATGCTAATACGGTAACATTGTCGGACCCGGATGCATATTTCAAGACATCGGCAAGCATGGACAAATCGCAGAGACATTCAAGAATATATCGTACTTCGAAAAACTCTTGAGGAATAAGTGCTGACGTTTTGACCTCACTTCCGAAATCACGATCCATAGCGCTTCTAGGACGTTGTCAGCAGGTGAGAAACTGTGGGAAATATTCTTTTTTTAAGGACTTACTTGAGGCTATCTTTGACATGAGAAGCCACCTGATCCCTTATCCAATTCCCAATTTCGGACCTAACCGTCCAGCTTAGCGAAGAAAAATCAACATCATCCGTCATTTCAGCATCCCCTTCAGGCGGGGCCTTAGGAAACATGTTTGGAAGACGCCGTCGGACGGAAGCCTTAATGCGTTGAATGGTATCAACCTCAAGAGCCACTAAAAAACCCGTTCTTGAGAGGAGTGTATTTCGCAAATTCCATATGTGGTTTGGGAGACGACTTGACGGCAGATGTCCGAGGAGTCCAATATCGCCCGGGATATGCTACAAACTTACACATTAGAAAAACAATTTTTGACCGTAGATGAGACAACAATTGGGAAAACTGAAGTACTGTACCATTTGTGGACAACCCAAGACATTGCTGACACTACCACGAGCCATAAGCCACTGCAGGTACTTGGCTACAGAAAAAGATTGCGATCGCACCAGTTCGCAAATAACGTGGTACACGTCAAGAAACCGCACGCCTGACTTCCGGTGATCTTGTACGAGGAAGGAAAGAAGGTGGGAATCTATATCGATTCCAGTCTTTTTCCATCTTCGAAAAACACGCACCGCTGTGTAAATTCGCGCGAGACCATATCGAAAGGAAGTTGATGCCCACTCTATAACCTTGGTGGCTAGAGTGCTATAATCTTGTGATATATTTAAACACTCTGTGCCAATTGTGGAAACATCACTAGAGGAGTCAAGAAGTTGGATTAGGCGCTGATTGGTTGACTGTGTGGGTTTCCGACGACTATTTCCTAACCGACAAACTCGAGCATTTCGGGCCTTGAGGTTCTGAAAACCAGCCTTGTCGTCTGAGAGGTTCATATCTAGACATGATGATAGTACATTTTCGTATTTGTCCCAGCATCGTGGAAGGATGAAACACGAAGGATGAGATAGGGACAACGTCTTGGTAAGGCGAGATAAGCGCCGGGTAAGGGGGTTCAAATGTGCGTGTTGATCGGCCTCAGTAGCCTACAATATATGTCATCAGCGTCTAGGTTTAGGAAGAAGGGGTTGTGGGGGTATAGATAGATAACATACCAGACGCAGTTTCTCCAGCAAGCATTCAGCTAACCGTTTGCCCCTTTTCCGATAACGGACGATATTTTCCCAGTAAATCCCTACCATGAGGAGCCAAACAGGAAGATTCTCGACCGAAGAATTATGAAACGACGTAAGGAACCATTCTAGGAAATGGTCTTGCTCAACCAGGTGTTCGAGGAAGAGCCGCGCCAAGAGTCTTATACTGTAAGAAATCCTCAATCTCCAGTTCGCGTCACCAATACCAGCAATCACACCCTCAACAAATTGCTGTACACTGATCGTCCAGTCTCGTACCCACTTCGCTTCGAGACCGCTTGCAACCCCGGCAGACGTCCCTTTTCTTTTAAATGCGCGCAGTTCGTTGGCACCCACACATTTGGCCAGCCATATAGCTCGGCAAATAGGAATAGATTTCCCAAGGCATTGGTCCAGTAGAACCTTCCCCCTGATTCCGTGAGGTATGGTACGACTAAGCCTACGTAACGGAACAGAGGGGTTTGCCAGATCTCGAAGCCACGCTTCACGTTTGATGTCGGTTAGTGTAACTCGGGGCGGAGGTCTAAAAGTCGAGGCCGCAGTGATTGTGCGAAGAGCCTGACGTTTTTCCAGGGCTGCTGCAAAAACGGATGACAGGAGCTTCAATCCCGACCGGTTCTTGAACTGGGGGTAGACAACTGATTTTGCGCTCGTTGTTTCATTAGACACCGAGGCACGGTCATAGAAGCCTTGTTTGGCGGTTTGCTCAGACAGTACATCCTCAGGATGAGACCCTCTCCAAGGGGAGAAATCCGCAGGTTCTGCAAAACACATTAGCAAATAGAAATAGGAGATTCTGAAAGTCATAGCAAGATAGCAACAAGATACACGTTGTTTTAGATGTGAAGGAACATACTGTTATCTGCGAACCGCGGCGCAATGGACGGAACATCGATACGATACGGTGTTGTCTTCACTGCCCCGCACTCCTTACCGCCTTTCGAGTCCGTCGTCCCAGCGAGATACCGTTCCTGCGGGCCATACTTCCAAGGACGAATAGGCAGCGGGGGTAAAGACGAGGACTGCGGCCATTGGGAAGCCTCAGGTTGGGCCTCAGCATCAGACCTCGGTATCTCCCCCTTGAATGACCATGGCGGGCGGCCAGTCTGCTCTGTCGAAGAGGAGCTCATGAGATCCAAGGGATTCATAGAAGATTCTGGAGTTTCACCTGTCATGGAAGACACATGATGCTGAGAGCTGGGCTGGTCTTGGTTTTGATATTGTTGTTGCTGATGTTGGTTGTGGGTGTGGTCTAAGGAAGATTGGGGGGGCTCATTGCCAACATCCAAGCGCGGTCTTTTAGCAGGGCGTCCGATATCAGCCATGCCGCCGCCATCGGACTCCGTCAAGTCGATGACTTCATTTTGGTGCGCACGGGAATCAATTGCTGGATAGGAATCCGAGGCAGGGTAAGGGACGACGGAGTGTGATGACGACCCTCGACTGGGAGCGGGGGGACGGGATGGCGGCCGGCGGGAGGAAGAATGTGAGATCATTTCCAGAACATGGCGGACATCCCGATGACAGACATCTGAATGATCAAGCCATTTTCATTGTCGAGGGTGGATAGGATTTGGCGACGGGTCGGGAGGCGGATAGATAGAACAGCAGCGCCGGGAAGTTCAAAATGCTGCTGCGCCCGTAAGCAGGACACACTAATCGTAAGAATATGAAGAAGATTAGAAAGCCAGCGCCAACCTCTAGCTAGATGGAATGATAAAGATCACCCAAATTTCTCTGCGAGGTGGTGGTTGTGGAGGCTGCTGCTGGCGGGTGGAGGTGGTTGGTTGGTTGGGGGGTTGGTCGTCGTCGGGCAACGAAGAAATTCGACGACGACGGTTTTGATCCCAAGACGAGCCGGCAGCAAACAAGTCAGGTGAACGTTGACTTTTGAACAAGCAACCAACCTCCCTTCCATATGATTAGATCGGAGAAGAACTACAGCAGACCCTCCGTGGCTAGTGTTGAGGCATCAGAGATATTGTATCACCATCATAATTAATAATAATAATAATAATAATAATAATAATAATAAGTTAATAACAATAGCGGTTGATAATAATTCAGCTTTTGTTCTATAGCGGCCATCGGTATTATCCTCTCCTCGAGTGCTCCACCGTACAGTACAGGCAACTGTAGTAGTTAATGTACAGTACAGTAAAACGCCTCAGCTTTCATCCTAAAAATAAAAGTGATGGTTGCATAAATAAGTGATGGTTATCTAGGATTGAGATCAACTTTAGTTCGGTAATTACCTTCAGTCTCACATACTTTTTTTCACAGCGCTGAAACCATCAACTTCGGCTATGGATTCATGGATCCATACTTCCTTTAGCCTCGAATCGTTCCATCGGCCGTCACTTTCTGTCACTGCATTTTTATATTTTATACGGAGTATGCTTCAATGAATAATAGTTAGCCGGCTGGCTAAGGTTATTTTTAAGTTACGGGCTCTTCCGCGGTCAAAAAGCGCCAAACAACTTCTACCAAACCCTCCTTTCCGCCAGCGAAGACGGTCTAACAGTTCTCCTAAATAGCTGGTGAGAAGAGGCGAGAGATATATTGCCCGTTGTCACGGTTGTCTCACTGCTAGATCCATCATCAGATGAATCTCGAGCAACATCGGCCGCCCCTTCCGCTCTCTTCCGGATGATTAATTAATTCCTCACCTCACAACAAAAGTCAGAAGCTCTTGTGCCATGCATGTTACATTGCTAATAATATTATTTATATCTTCTGAGCATGGCCTCTCACTGCCAAGATAGGTCCCTCCAATAGGAGGTCGTACTTAATTGAACTTGGGCGTGGATACAGGTACACGCACGACAACCCAACTCTAGAGATCTATGGAGTATTTTCACCTCAGTACGTTCTGCACGCACGACCAAAAGAAAAAGGGAAAATATTTATTCCTTAGGTTCTTTCTTTCCATCTACATGTTTGACAAAATATCCTACGCATGGTCGATGGCGAAACACGGGTACAAGTATCGGCTTCCTGGGCGCCTAGATAAGATATGCATTTGACCAGCTCACAGCTGCGAATACACGACATGGCTACATAAGTTAACATACGTCCTGCCCTTGCCTCTTGATGTGTCGATAGGCTCCGCAACGAATCAGTAGCTGGAACACTTCATACATAAATAGCATGGAAACCCTGTTACTCCTGGCGCTCGAGGGGCTTCGTACGTAGTCGTACCACCTCCACCGAAAATCCGGTCATCCCACTCCAATAAAACCGGACTCCCCGCTCCTTGGCAAAAACATGTATTTCTGGCATGTCTGTTTGCCAGCACTCAAAAGTGGCAAAGGATGAAGTGATATCTCCGTTTAGTGTTCGACAACGCAGGGCTTGTACAATGTAATGTACATGTATGCCCAGCGGGGCACACCACACATGCTTGATGGCGTGCAAACTATACCTTCATCACTCCACCTTCCGGAGCCGATTGCCGGCCGCCTGCTAGCAATGCAAAGCCCGTATCAGCCCATGGAAGTAGTATACAACACTGACACTTTCGCAGTACCCCTGCATCACCCCATCTAACGTTCAAGAATCCCAGCTCTCCTAGTGTGAAGGTCCCAGGTGACGGAACATGCCTCGATTCACACAAGGAGAGGGATACAAAGAAAGAAAAGAACTATTCCACGCCCTCACCTAGGGCCATTCCAATCACTCGACCATATAAAAGTATCGCACCGCCACTGGTCACCCGCTTTCTTAATGCCCGTGGGCCCCAAAGGCCGCGGGCATATCCAAAAGGATCGGCCGCGGTTAATCCCCGCTTTTTTCGTCACAAGGCTGATGCAAGGTTCATTGTGGCCCTCACATCTCGGTGGGGGCTTTTTCGTGAAGAGTTTTGACCATGACTCCTTGTTTGCAATTGGGTCATGTACCCTACCATTACTATCATAATCTCCATTGTACGATAATGTGTCAGCCGTCTGTAATTGTCGCCGTCCGTTTTCTTCTGGACCACACTGGTCTCCAGATGGACAAGAAAAGCTCGAGTCTGGGGGAAGATTTCTTGTCGTTCCCTTCTGTGGGCTGCTTGCTCCTGCCATGGTTGATGGATTCGAGGAGCCTTTTTCATCATCTCTAGAAACCGCTGTAGTACTAGAGGATTCTTTGGGGACAAAGAAGCCTTTCAAGGTCTTTTGCCCTTTCCTGGTCGCAGTAGCGGTCGATGACTCGCTCCGTTTCAAACGTTTTGGTCGTGATGTGATGCCATCGTCCCCTTTATGAGGCCGCTTAGGAGTGGTGGACGCTGCTGATGGCGTCGATGGTGTAGGAGATGGAGAAGCCATAGTCGGCCCCTCTATGGTAGAAAGGTTGATATCTAAGGAAGTCTTTTCGGCAGAAAGTGTGGTGGTCCCGCTGTTAGGAGCTTTCATGCTACCCTGGCTACCACCCTGTGAACTCTGCCGAAATAACATATCTTTGATACTTCGTCGCTGACAAAATTCAGGAATCAATCTACCTGAAAGTGGAAGAATGTCTGCGGACGAGTATTCCCGCTTCCGCTGGCCGTTTTCGAAGGTACCCTTTGGGTTAAGCATGTCGAGAATGTCGACTTCTGCCCCGTCCAACAACACCTTGCCCTTAAGATCGGCAAAAACGGGACAATGATCGGAACCCTAGTTGCACTGTTAGAATTTCATATTATGTGAATGTCTAGTAACATGGAAGCGAATACCATAAGGCCCTCCTGGATATTGGATGCAGAAAACCAGTCTTCCATCCTTTTATCGCAGAGGACATAATCGATCCGTGAGCCGTAATTACCAGGTCGAGCATTGACTCTTTGTTCCCAGCAAGTATACATGCCCGGCCGATCAGGATGGTATTTTCTACATAAATCCACAAGGATGGGGGTTTCCCTTCCTTGGTCCCTGTCACCAATAACCTTCCCGCCATAGACCAGCTGATTAAAAACACGACGAACGGGAGCAGATACAAATTCCGAATCGGTCAGGTTACCTTTCCGTATCTCTTCAAGCGCGCGAGCCGAATCGATTTCTGAGCCACATATGTTTAAATCCCCCGTCACGATAACGCGCTTCCCCATAGCGACCAGGTTCCGTACTCTGGCATCCAGTATATTTACAAACCCTGTTCGAAAACCATCTCGCGTTTCGTCCCTGTTCGCGGGACAGTAAACACCAATCAAAACAAATGCTGGAAATTCCAGGATCATACAGCGTCCCTCAGAATCAAGCGTGGAAGCATCTACGTCTGAAAGAGCCAGCTGTTCAGCAGTAGGGTAACCACCGATCTGTGCCTCTTCCGGTAAGTCGCGGAATGAAGTGGGAGAAGGAAACGGTGACACTGATGCGGGTAGGCAAAGAATGCCCGTAATCCCTTCTTCAGCCCGAATCGGGCAGCATTTAGAATTCCTGGTATATATTACGACTCCAGAATATCCTGCGCATAGGGTTAGTGATGTATATATATATATACAGGTGTTTGATTCAAAAGTGCAGAGTGGACAGAAAGCACAAGCCTTTTTTATACTTGGGAAGGCTGAAAAAACAGTCCCAGCCATTAACGAGAACCATATCATCTTGCAAATCCTTTTTTTGGATTTTTGTCTCTTGGAAGATGACTATGTCCGCATCGAGGGCGTCGAACATCGCCTGTATTTGAAGTATTAGGATTGATGCATATATATACAAACGACAAGATTTCGAAAGTTATTTATTGCATACCTCGAAGGACCGCTTCTCTCGCCATGGATGATACGAAAACGGGTTGCTAGAGGACCTCTAGTTATTCTTTCATCCACCGAAAATGATATCATCCAGACCTTAGCACTAACCGTATCCCATTAACTGCACTCAGAGTGGGTTAGCTCTGCGAGCTGTGGGATGCCTGGGGATAGCTCTAGGATACTTACCGTTCCAAGTAGTCAACCTGACCATCTGTAACACCCCTGTCTGCTATCATCAACAATGGTCTTTTGGAAGGATGGTCTCAAGAGCCAACAATTATTATAATATGTACAAACAGTCTAACTATCAAAGGTCCTATTCATATGAAAGACATATTCACAGTTCTGAGGGAGAGTTGTGTAGGCTTTGGAGGCATGATGAGGCTGATGTACTCGTCCCCGAGAAGATGCCAAGAGTCACGTGTTATAGCGCAATCCAACCTGGACGAGATCAACATCCAACGTCACAATTCTTGCTTCGACAACCACAACACAACATTCTTCCCACAACAATCACCCACCATCAATTGGCTGCTTAGTGCACATTGATCAGACACCATGTTCCCTCGCGCTTCCGCTTTCCGCCTGGCCCAACGAACCGGCGCCCCCGCCATCCGGTCCTCGCCCGTCCGGTCTGGTGTTCTCCAGCGCCGCTTCAACAGTACCGAGCAGAAGGTTCCCACACTCCCCGACAATGCCTTCAACCGTGAAAGAGCTGCTGTGAAGGCCCATGCCGCTGCTACCAGTGGTGAGTTTGCCTGCGTTCCTCCTCTCAATTAGCTAGTTGGTATCAAAGTAGCAAGATTCTAACCAATGACTCGTGTGTCATTTTTCATAGACTTGTGGCGGAAACTCTCCATCTAGTACGCGGATTAAGCCTCCCCCCCTTTTCGGCACCTTGCTATCCTATAAAATTCCTATCGTTTCCATCTTTACAACTCCAGTCTGGTATCGAATGGATGATTACCAAGGAAAGAAGAGATTACTTGAACAGGAAAACTAATTACCAGACGATATCTAGCGTTGTCGTACCCGTCGTCATCCTTGCCAGCGTCAATGCCTATAACCTATGGAATGAGCATTGGGAGCACTGGGACCACATGCCACCTTTGGAAGAGCGGGTAGAATACCCTTACCAGAACATTCGAAACAAGAATTACCCATGGGGTGATGGTGACAAGGTATGTGTATCTCCCTCTCGATTCTTTCTAAGATGATTTATACTTTTGAATGCACCACATCGGCTAACTCATCCTGCGAAACTATAGACCTTGTTGTAAGTGTTCTCTATCTGCAAAGTTCCCCGCAATTCTCGATCTTCTGTTTTGATTAGACAGGAGACGGGGGAAGGTCATGATCTCAACAATCCCCATCAGATCGATATATTCCCCCTGCACTTGCATGAGCGACTTTTCGCTGACCAGGATACGTTCACAGCTGGAACTCTTCCGTAAACTACCACAACCAAGACAAGGTCCAATAGCGGCAACATCCCACCCGTCCCTTTCGACGTTATCCCATGCGAGTAGATGGGGATAAAGTTTGAATAATCGAGGCAGAGAAGGAGAAAAGGAAAGGAAAATCGAAAAACATGTATTTAGTACACAACAACATCTTTTTATCATCCCGGCCGTCTCCCTTTTCGCACCATGTTTTCCTGAATTTAGTGACTGGGCTTTCCCCACCATTACCCACTCCCATCATTGTAAATAAAAATTTCTTTTGTTTAATTGGTTATGGTGATTTAGAGTATGAAATACTGTCCCTATTTTCATGCATATATGAACTTCTCATGTGCTGTGTCTTTTTGCGGTAAATCAAACAAATGATCCCACTCCGGACATTGGCAGCACACAAGTCCGAGCATGGAGCAGCTGCCGCCTTCCCCTTTATGGACTAGCCCGCCAAGCTCCAGAAACGGTGCGACTCGACTGCGATCTCTCCAATATTGGGACGGAGTTGACCACGACGCCGTTGCTACTGCACGCTGCTCTATCTTCTCTTGCCGTGATGCCAGTAGCCATTATTCCTTTTCCCAACGTAGTAAACGAGCGTTAGTACACGTCGTGAATCTCCATTCAAGCCACATTGCCCGAACCCCACGCGCGAACATGGCCACCAAGAAGGATATGCGGAGACCGGAGCTCGGTTGATCTCTCCATCTCCATCTCGCCGAACTGTGTCGAATTGGTAGATATTTATATATACTAACTTATCCTATTAGCTGTTCCATATGTCGAACCGCCTGCGAAAGCGTCAGATGCTTCTGATATAAGCAGTATGTCATACCAGTTGATAATACATCCATTAGATTGCCATTCGTTCTTGCGATCCTAAACTTTGATTGATAAAGGCACGATGTCGAACACGATGCCCATGGCTGCTGTATGTCATATTAGGCCCCTAATATATTCTAATCATATGCTAAATTCTTGAACCATTGCTAACAAACCAACTTGCGATATCAGATGTTTTCGAGAAATAAGTACGCTTCATGACCGCACCCTCCTCCTACCTACCCCCTGCTCTCTGCGCCGCCGTCTCCCCAATTAATATCTCCGGTACACCTTTTGCTAACGAAAAGCTCACTGCGCGCATTAGGATGATTGCCTGGTATGCTTCTGCGAGCCCGTGATATCGATGACATGGGAGTCGCAGCCCGCTAATTATCAAACGAACCTATCCGTCCAACTCCAAACAGGGCTGCCGTCACCTTCTCTCTGCAAAACTGGATGGCGGAAACCCCGGAGCAGCAGAAGAAGTCCGCAACACCAGCATACATGGGTGTGATTATGGCTTGTAAGCATTGTCGCTCGCTGTTGCAACCTCCCTGTGAGGTTCCGTTTTCTCGACTATGATGATCTCCTAAACTAATACATTTGACAACCCTGCTATTTTATAGTCCTCTCTGTCATTGTTGTATGTTTCGCCTCCGTCTACTTTATTCCCATTTGCCCCTCGCATCCGAATCTCTCGAATCGAGGGGATCAGCTTTAATATACGCCCCCCAAATACGTGAAGAGTGGTTTGCTAACAAGATTAACAAACAGACGTACATGCCCATGTTTCTCCCTACCCCCGGCAATCCTGCACCAAAAGCAGCAGCTCCCCCTCCGATGCCATCCTCTTAATCCTCTACCATTACCCATTCTGCTCTTGCAAAAGAGGTGTATTATCACTCCCGTTTTATATTTCCCAGTTAGCTGCAAATATTTATTATGAAGAATATACGCATGCAAGTTTCTGTATCCATAACTACGGTCAGATGCCAAATCTTAGAAAAGTGCTTTTGGAGAAAAAATATAAAAACTGAACTTGATCAGACTGTACCTTACTACTATTTTTGCCCCTTCATTAACACCTACCTTATGCTATTTTCAAAGACTACCCATTTCCCACCATCGGTGATCCTCCTAAATCCATCCATCAAAATATGCCCTAGCCAGTCAACCACAGCGTGAATATTAAAAGTACAACACAAGCAAAAGGCTAACAAGATCATAAAAGTACCGACCATAACACTCCATATATATTCACAGGTCTCCCGTCCAACCAACCAGCCCCCTTTAGGCCCCAGCCCCTGACTTGTTGCCCGTGAATACCACAACACTTAACAAAGCCCCTCTCCTCTCCTCTCCTCTCCTCTCCTCTCCTCTCCTCTCCTCTCCTCCCCGCCCCCGCCCCCGCCCCCATGGCACTCATAATCCCGACTCATGTGTTACTCACTTCAACCCCCCCAGCCTCTTGTCGTCCCAGCCCCCTTAGTTCTGCACCAGTCAAACTGGGCCCATTCTATAGTGTATTGAATAATTCGCAGTTAATGTTAACTAGGCTGCGGGGTGGGATGGATGCCTAGCCGCCCTCGAATCATGATATCCAGAAGCGGGGAAGACAAGAAGAGGGTGAAGAAGCGCTTTGGGGTGCTGGGGCTGGGTGGAGGCGGGTCTTTGCTGTAGCGATGCTGGGATTTTATGTTTTTTGAAAGGAGTTTGTTCATTTTCGTTGCTAGGGGGTTAGCTGTGTAGGGTTATGATATTTTATCTGCATAGTAACGGGTGATTCTAGAATCTGAATTTCCGTGACGGAGATTTCCAAAAGTTCAATGAATGTTCCAAGACGTCATCCATAACATTCATTTTTGATATCCCCAAACATAGCTCTTCTCACGAACCTCTGAACCAGGAAACTCACGCAGACATCTACCCCTGAGATCCCAGCTATTCCGCATCTTGCCATGTCTCTTGTTTAGATACTGCAAGCCAATCGACGGAAACAATGACAATGTCTAACAATTCATCCCTGCCCTGGGCAGACTGCGATACAGGCTTCCTCGACAGTATGATATAATAGCCCTGTCATGCATTGGGGGTCCTGTTCAATTGGTGCTATTGCTACTATTGCTAATCCATATTCCATTCCCAGGCGACGGCATAGCCATCCGCAAATGCAGCACAGAATTCCTCAGCACATTGTGCACGGCATACATGGACTGTATCGCAGACGACAAAATTCACGTCCAGGACAGCAGCGCGAACCAGCTATTCGAGCGCGTGATGGACGAGCTTCGACGACTGTCATCATCCCCAACCCTCTTCCCATCAACAGAGACACAGACCCGCTTCTGGTCTCTCCTAACCCACGCAATTGATACCCAGGTCACCGCCGCGCAGTCGAAAATAGATGAAGAGATGAGAGCCGATTTCCTCATGCGGGCCAATCTGCTTGCGAGGGAGGAAGATAGATTGTTACAATCCCTCAATCGCCCAACGTTTGCGGCTCCCCTATCACTTCCATTGGACATGATTTCTAAAATTAGCCCTATCAGTGTGCCGAACTCCCTTCCTCTGGACTCGAGTATGAACATACATGGGTAAGATATCCACTCTATCTAAGCCCAATATGTTGAAAAATTGAGGGAATAGTAAAGTTTCCGCTAACCAACCTTCCCCACACAATCAAACCTATAGATCGCTCTAGCTCCCAACATATACTTCGATGTAAGTATCCGCCCGTCCTACTTGCATTCCCGTCCGGCCCTCAGCGTTTTTACACACACATATGGAGAAGGAAAGTTCAGTCGTTCGAAAAACAAAACCAAAAAGGTACGGACAACTTATTTACTTTTCTATTTGTTTGTTTGGCAGAAATATAGCGCGTTATCCAGGGAGGCCAACGTTACTGATCGCTTGGAGAATTTGAGCTCATGGACTGTAGCAGGGCGCGTGCTGGGATTAAAGCGACGTATTATCATTCTCGGAATCAAGTTGTTGGCTTCCAAGTTGTCCTATACATGTGAACTATCTAAACGCATGCACATCCCATGGAACAATGGAAATGGAACTAGGTTTAAATATATTTGTCTTCCAAGTAGGCATAAGTAAACAAACACTTTACTCATCAGACCAGATATTGCCCAACAAGGCTCTTCTGAAACATCTACATTTTACTTCTTTGCTTCCTTTATTTTTCTAATTTTTTTGGGGCGTGCTTGGCCGGTCTCAATTCTTTAATTTGACCCAGTGTTGGCACCGTCAGCTGAGATAGAGTAGTCTAGTTTGGAATTTTGACGCTGCATCTAGGCTTTTGACATAACGCTTCGAGTGTAATTTCAGTGAATATTTATATACACATTTTCTGATACGTTGCTTCAGCCAGATCTGACCTCAGAGATCAGGGAAAAAGCTTCCAGCTATGAGGGATTAAACAGCAGACTATAATGCATTGCCCGCCACTCCAAACCATGTTTGTACGAGATCTGGGCTACCGTTTGGCTTTCTCGTGGGAAGTTCAAGATGTTAAGTTGAACGCGACATGGACTTCAGACCCCCGATGAAACACAAGCCACACACTCGTCCTGAAATTAACATACATATTGGGAGAACCATCCACCAGTCGTTGATAGGGCAATTTATTAACGGCTTTTTGAAATGCATGCTATTGAGATGCTGGCGGAGCCTGTCTATCGATCAAGAATTTGTATTAGAACTAAATTAAATATTAGGAGCTGAATGAGAAAGAAATGAAGGTTTATTTACACTGAAAGAAGAACAGTCTGTTAATATCATTTTAACACTGTCTTCAAATAAGGGGCTGGAGGGGTGCCCAACCCAGTAAGACCATCGAACGGAAATGTAGGCAGAAAATCGGGTATCACTGTCCAAGGCCGGCAAAGTAGTTGTCAAATTCGAAATCTAAATTGGACCAATGGCCCGCTAAGCCCGTCGTACTGGTAGCATGGGCCTGGGTGTGTTGGGGAGTAGTGACTGTTGTGCCTAGGCGTCGAATTTGAAAATTCATGAATCCAGCGTCTTCGAAACCCATAACGTAATTGGTGCTGTGATTCATCGTCATATTCGTAAATCCTCGACCAGGGGAGAGCGGAACAATGAGGTCGAAGTTACGCTCGTCATTGACTATGTTATTCTCATCACTTGCAGGTGAAAGAGAATTTACATATGTACCATCCGATTGAGACATTGGAGTTCCAGCTTCTCCAGCACCAAACTGGGCCGAGCTGACAATCTGCGTATCATTCAACGCCAAGTGGTGAGCGTCACGGCGGGACGTCGACCGACGCTTTTTCTCGGATGGCTTACGGGGAGCGTATTGATAGTCAGGATGATCCTTGGCATGCTGGACCTTGATTTCATCCGCAAGCGACTTGAAATGGGCTTTGGTCTCAGCAGACTCGGCTTTCCACCTCTTCCCAAGAAGAACTGCTACAGAACTTGTTAGAGCGATCATTAAAAAAGGGAATGTGAAACCAACATATTTCGTTGTTATGAAAACCTGGGTGAGATGCTTTGACGAGTGGATGGTGATGCTGACGATACAAAATGAATGCATTTGGTGGCCGCGGGATTTTTTCAGGCTTTCCTTGAGCAGCCTTGTTGGCTTTGGGAGATGGGCTTGCGTTTTGGTCGCTGTTCGTTGCGATCATCGGCATGACTTGAGCAACGGCAGAATCTACAGCCCCATCCAACACTGGCGTAGGCATAATGCGATAAACACTGTTGACATCATCTTTGAATGCAACGACGGGCGTGCTGAGCAGTGCGCTTGAGGTTATATTAGCTTTTAGAAATTTCTCAAAGAAGTAGATAAACACACCTCAGGCGATCTTTAATCTTCTCAACATTGTCTTGGCCGATTACGGTGTTGATATCAGCGGGAAGGAGAATCTCGTTCTTAGTATGTTTGAGATGGGCCATAGCATGTTGCCAAATAAGCTCGATAACTAAGTCCAGAGACCTTGACATCGGCTCCATGACGGAGGCTGTAGCCGTAGCCATTTGAATCTGTAATTGGAAACTTTTGCTTGATCGCCGCAGAGGCAGGAAGATACAAGCCGTGGAACAGGGGGATATTCAGGGTATCATTAATTAGGTGGATAATATAACGGTGGATATTCGGTGGTGGAACAATGGCAATAGTGCAGGGACTCATCGAAAGTAGTTTTCATAATAGAAGAGGAAAGGGAGAAGACAAAGGAGAAAAGGAGGGAGAAAGGCTGGGAGACAAAAAGGAAGAAGAGACAAAAGTAGAGCAGAGCTCACCAAGGAGAGATAGGCGGTTGTGTTCTTTGTTTACAACAGAAAGTGAATGCGAGGTGATGAATTTCGGAGGCTAGCGACCCCTCAAGTACGGAGTAGTTAAATATTTAATTCACCTTGCCGCCCAGGTGGTTCAAACCATTTCAGTGACTGGGAGTTGTAAAGGAGTGAGAATAAACAAGAGAGCCAGAAAAATGATTTCATTATTACTTTTAAATCGACTTCTAACTACATGTTAAACGCCCGTTCTAAAGCTGCTATTTTAAACCCTAGTCTCCCTTTTGAATCGAGCGGATCAGCGCCGAATATGGATCAAGTACATTTCCTTGAGTCTGCAAACGTCGCGACCGTTTTTGACAACGCACTGCCGCATACTCTGGGAGAGCTATCAGCCACAGCGAAAGATGTACTCAAAAGGCAAGCGGGAGTGCTCCTGGCTTCACACAAGTCTTGTCCCCAAGACAAGTTCCGCGGTAGCGTCAAATTATTCCTTGAGGGAGGGATTCTTACAGAGGAGAGTGCTCTGCGTATTACCCCAAGGACTCAAAATAGACACGCAAAAAGCGCTACCAAAGGCCGTCTCAATGACGTTCAACGCTTGATGCAACTTTACAACGTCCACCCGAAGATTGAAGACTACTCCAATGAACCTATTTCTCTCATAGACAAGATTAAAATTCCTGGTCCCGAATACATCCCAGACGCTCTTAGAGAGTTGGTTGAAAGAAAGATTTTACTCAAAGAAGAAGAGGCGACCCATATGGCAAACGAATTCTCGGAGAAATATGGATCTGAGTCTCTATTCCGATCTGCATTTCGGGAATTTTTCTCAACGTGAGCGAGCTCTTCACGAGACGAGTGCAGGTTACCAAATCACTAACAATGGAACAGTGGACTTATCGGAGTCCAACAGACGTTTTGGAGGCCCGATCCTCGCAGTCAGCGAATTCGTCGACAAGCAGAGGAGATCTGCCTCCAGGCAATCGATGAAAGTCTCTGGCTTAACGGGGCCGAAATTCTCTTTGTGATCCGTGCCACGAGATGCTTTCCGGAAGACGCCATGTCATTTTGTGAGTTGCACTATATTAACGAGAGCCAGAACATTGCTAACACAGCTGGTCTTTTCTAGGGCGTTGGGTATCAGCTAATAGGTTAACCTATCTGGCGGTAATGGATATGATTGAACTACAGGGAGGGTTTCTTGACGATCCTGAGACTGTTCAATCTCAGTGGTGGGGTGTCCCCGTGCTTATCTTTAGGTACTTCCTAAGGCTGACTTCGAATTTTGAAGAATATCGGACCAGTCAAGTGGATGTCGCCTAACCGCCTAATTTCTACATATAATTCCGACTTTGAATACAGCAATGGGCGTTCATACATCGCGCATCCTACATATTTAATAACGACAATTAACTCGCTGTTAACATTTAAATATGAACAAGAAATTCGCGAAACAAATCAGCGAGCCAAACGAGTAATCTCCCAGCACGCAGCTTTTAGTAGTTCTGCTTAAAAATTGGGAGCCAAGTCCATGTGAAGAAACCAACAGTTGGGAGCATATGCAATGTGCGGCGCGTAAACTGATGGGCCGGCAGGGACCGGCAGGTGGTGGCTCAGCACAGTGATTAGGGTCGTCGAGCCTGCAGACGCAGACGCAGGATGTGTGGTTGGGATAAAGTTGACAGGGGGTCCGTGGGCTTTGTAAAAGCGGGGCAGCCACTTTCCACCATCGTCTGCTGCCGCCAAGATTCGATCCTGCATCGGTTCTAAAAGTTACAACGATGTTGCGTTGGTCCAGATTTCTATTTCTTTGTTCTGAGCTTAGTAGAATTAATTTGACTTCCACTCTCACAACCACAACTGTACCCTATACCTTAAAATCTTGCAAACAAAGAACGAACCCACAGGAAAGAAAACGAGGTAAACCGTCTCAAGTGACTACTTTGGTGGCTGCAGGAAAACCACCCGGCACCTTATGAGGCGAAATAAATTACCCACGACCAACTAGCCAAACCAGTAACTTGGGAGCCCACCACGCCCAGCCTCGACCAGGTCTCCGGGATTAAGAAGTGAAATTAAATATCGGCCCTCTGATGGACATAGCTAAATTAGGCTTAGGACGCAACCTTGGAATGATATTTGGCCGAACAATGAACAGAATGTAATTTGCGGAGCGAAGCGAAGCAATATGTTAGATGCTTTCAAAACCTGATTAGAATAGAAGGTGCGATCTTGTAGGCTCCATTCTGTGATATGATTGGTTGAAAAAATGCACACCCCACGTGACCGCCCGTAACGTAATCAACCACCTAACGCTCGTTTCCACCTAACACTCGCCTTTGTAAATCAATTACAATCAACTTCAAATATTCATATCTCAATGAATATTTATTTAAAACTATTCTAAAAAACAGAACAATAATTCATAGATATATATTATATTATATTAAATTTCTATGAGAAAATAACATATAATTATTAATTTATTAAGCTTTTTAAAATACTATTTTAAAATAAAATACACAGTCTATATTTATAAATATATTTATAAATATAAATTATTTTCATATAAAAATTAAATATCTTATAGATTATATATATTTTTAATAAAATATAAAATTTTATCTTGAAATTCTTATTTATTATTGATTTATTTAAATTTTTATATAAAATCTTATATTTTAAAATACTATTTTTGTAATAACTATGTATTATTTATACTTTAAAATTGTAATTTAAATAAATTATTATATTAAATTATTTAAATATATTTATATTTAATAAATTATTTTTCAAAATTTAAAATTTCAAGAGTTTTTAATATTTTACTTGTAATTTATAAAAAAAATTATAATAAAAAAATAAAAAAATTCTTAAAAATTAAAATATAGAATTCTTATATAAAATAATTTAATATTTATTAAATTATAATATATTTATATAAGAATTATTATTTTCAATAATATATAATACATATTTCTTAATTTATAATAAAATATTATATATTTTATTATACTGTATTTTATTTTCTAATTGAATCTATATTTTAATCAATTTTAACTATATTATAATAATTTTAAATTATATTATACTATAAGTCTTGATATTTATAGATTATAAATTAAAAAATTAAAATAATGAATATTTATTGAGATATTAACATTTAAAGTTGATTGTAATTGATTTACAAAGGCGAGTGT